CTCTGATTCTCACTGGGAACTGGGCCCTGCAGAATCTCTGGGGCGCCCCAAGCCTTTGGAACAGGGTCCCGTGTGCAGAGGAAGAGGGGATGCAAATCTGCTGTTTCTGGATCCCGTCAAGGGAAGTGCAGACATTGATTTTCAGCAGAACAAGAATGACGAGTAAAGCGAGTGAAATGGCAGTTATGCAACATGCACGTTGCAAAAGGCAACCACTTGGAGACGAGTTCTAATCAAAACTCAGTTGACTGTAGAGCTGATTTGCAGACTTTGCTCCGCAATAGCTGGTGGAGCATCACGCTTTCAGGAGGCACGAGGCCAGCAAGTCCACCTCCTGTGCAGAAGGAAAGCAGATCCACGGCCCAGCCCCTGGAGAGCACCAGGTTAAGGGAGAAAATAAGAAGGTTGTATTTCAGAGTTTATTTTCTCGTCTCAACTGAATACCGCAGGATAGCGGTTACACCTAAGATTCTTGCAGGTAACTGGATTTCCATCAATTATGTCTGTAAGCATTGCTAGTCTTTTGCAATGAACTGTGGGTTGCTTCCCCTTTTTCTTGCCCCATCTCCTCTTTTCCCTTTGTCAAAATTAAAGCTGGTGACATGTAGTCTGGGGATCACAATGAAGATAGGCTGAGACCTTAGACAGCGAATTATCTGTAGAAAAGTCCTAAAACCTTACAGCCCTATTGCAAACTCCCTTACCTTGGACTTGAAAAATAAAATCCTCCTCAATTATTGACAAAACAGACAAAAAACAAAACTAAAAGCAACTAACTCCATTTTTTTAAATGTGCCTTGTAAGCTTGAAAGATAGACTGTAAAATACATTTCTCAGGTTTTTCAACAAACATGATCATTTGTAAGTCTGTTCTCGTTCTGTTTGCCTTAAAACAAATGCATAGACTAAGAGCTATTTGCATTACTTTTTTTTTATAATATATTTTTTATTGATTAAGATATTACATATGTGTCCTTGTCCCCACGTTACCCTCTACCCCCCACCCCCCCCACCCCCGCTCATGCCCTCACCCCCCCGTTGTCCATGTCCATTGGTTAGGCCTATATGCTTGCATATAAGTCCTTTGGTTGATCTTTCCCCCTTACCCCTACCCTCCCCTACCTTCCCTCCAAGGCCCGACAGTCCAATCAATGCCTCTCCATCTCTGGATCAGTCCTTGTTCATCAGTTTATGTTGTTCATTATATTCCACAAATGAGTGAGATCCTGTGGTATTTATCCGCTCTCCAGTTCCATCCATGCTGTGGCAAATGGTAAGAGTTCCTTTTTCTTCTTCCTCTTCTTAAAGAATACCTTTCAGCATTTCATATAATGCTGGTTTGGTGGTGATGAACTCCTTTAGCTTTTTCTTATCCGTGAAGCTCTTTATCTGACCTTCTATTCTGAATGATAGCTTTGCTGGATAAAGTAATCTTGGTTGCAGGTTCTTGCTATTCATCACTTTGAATATTTCTTGCCAGTCTCTTCTGGCCTGCATGGTTTCTGTTGAGAAATCAGCTGACAGTCGTATGGGTACTCCCTTGTAGGTAACTGACTGTCTTTCTCTTGCTGCTTTTAAGATTCTCTCTTTATCTTTTGCTCTTGGCATTTTAATTATGATGTGTCTTGGTGTGGTCCTCTTTGGATTCCTTTTGTTTGGGGTTCTCTGCGCTTCCTGGACTTGTAAGTCCATTTCTTTCACCAGGTAGGGGAAGTTTTCTGTCATTATTTCTTCAAAAAGGTTTTCAATGTCTTGCCCTCTCTCTCCTTCTGGTACCCCTATAATTCTGATGTTGGTACGCTTGAAGTTGTCCCAGAGGCTCCTTACACTATCTTCATATTTTTGGAATCTCTTTTCTTTTTTCTTTTTCGGTTGGGTATTTTTTGTTTCTTTGTATTTCAAATCTTTGACTTGATTCTTGGGATCCTCTTGTCTGCTGTTGGATCTCTGTAAATTATTCTTTATTTCAGTCAGTGTATGCTTAATTTCTAGTTGGTCCTTTTTCATGTCCTCCATGGTCTCACTATACTTATTGAGGGATTCATTAAATTTATCGGCGGTTTCCATAAAATTCTTGAAAAACCTTATAAACGTGGCCTTGAACTCTATATCCAGTCGTTTGCTTTCCTCCATTTCTGCCATTTGTGACCTGTTTCTTTGTCTCCGCATTTTGGCTGCTTCCCTGTGTTGATAGAGTGGCCCTGCGTGCCAAGTGTCCTGTAGGGCCCAGTGGCTCAGCCTCCCCAGTTACCTGGGGTGGACACTCTTGGTGCACTCTTGGTGCCTTGGTTGTTGTAGGATCACTGGGAGGAATTGACCTCCAGGCCAATTGGCTGTGAGAATCAGCTGTGTCTGGAGTGGGAGAACTTCTGTGCTGAAGACACCCTTCTGGGGCAAGACTTGCTTCAGTGGGGCTTTGGTGCTCACTGAGTCTGCTCCCTGAGTGCGTCCCTTATGGATCTGAGGAATTGCAATCTGGATGGTCCCCCTCTGACCACTGGGTACAGTGGCTCCTGGATCTAAGGAGGTGCTAATTCAGCCTCTGCCTGAGGCCACACAGCAGGAGCCACGAAGAGGCTCAGCTGTGAAGCAATGCAAGCGCTGCGGGGCCTTGGGCCTTCTCTTGGAAGTTCCAGGTCTGCCTGGTTCGGCTGCAGTTAGGTACATTCACATGCAAAAGCCTCTGCCGCAGCCTGGGTGGGGCGGGGTCTCAGGGAGTCAAAGAGCAGAGAAAGCAGCTATGGCCGATTCTTCGCCCGGAGTCGTGCGTCTCGGAGTCGCGCGTCTCAGTGTCCCAGTAGTGGCTGCAAGCACCTCTGAGGGAAAGCCGCACTCAAGTTTGCCCGCTGCCCGAGAGTCCGCTCCTCCCCGTATGAGTCCTGAGTCCCCAGAGACTTCCCAGAACCGGAGTTCAGAGCAGTCAGGAGCTTGTGATTCAAAAAAACAGCCGCGTCCTCAGGTGCCACCCCCTTCCCGCGCCCGCGCGCGCAATCCGCCGTACCTCTGCACTTCACCTCCGCAGCTCCTCTGGCTCTCAGCGTGGTTTTCTTTCCTTCTAGTTGTAGAATTTACACTCAGCCAGCCTTCCTGTTGTTCTGGGTGATGTCCACTCTGTCCTTTAGGGTATTTTTCAATTGTTGTGGGAGCGGCAATTTCCCGGTGTTTATCTATGCCGCCATCTTAGTTTCTCCCGCTAAGTCTTCACTACCTTATTCGCTATTTGCATTACTTACTCACTCCCCCACCCCCATAAAAATGTAAAAAAAAGTCTGTACTTGTTGGTCAGGAGTGTTAGGTTCAAAAGTTGGATTAGTCCAGTGTATTTGCAGACAATAGTCTCAGAGTGGCATAGCCGTGGCCTTTATCTTGACTTAGGCATCACAGTTTTGTAAAGGCTTCCCTGCCTGAACCCAGCCTCTCACTGGTCACCTTTAAAGGCTTTGCAAAAGGTATCCCCTTACTAATGATCAGTTACTTAACTTTTAGAATGGAAGGTTAATCAGGGCTAGTCCCTATATGCAATATTTTGTCTAATATACATGTGAAAATCTGTATGGGTTCTGGCATCCTATCTAATAAAGACAGAATATGCAAATCGACTGTCACACCTTCACAAAGATGGTGGTGCCCAGTCCCCTCAGCCCCGCTGGAGTCCCACAGTCCTTTCAGCCCAGCCGGGGGAGGGAGGTCGGGGAGAGGCAGTAGGCGCACGGTGGGGCCGGACCCGCCCTCAGCTCCCCAGCCGCCCAGGGCCAGCCGAGGCTTGTGCTGCGGGCAGTGGCAGCAGCAGAGGTGTGATGGGGGTTTCACCTTCCCCTGATGGCCAGGTCGCCTCCAGCCCCTGAGGGCTCCCAGACTGTGAGAGGTGGCAGGCCTGGCTGAGGAACCCCCCCTCCCGTGCATGAATTTTCATGCACCAGGCCTGTAGTAAGTGGATAAGTGCGAAGAAAAACAACAAATGGGTGTTGCAGTGAGGATCCAAGCTCTTCTTTCCAGGGATCCAGCTGTGATCTTGGTAACTCTGGAAACACAAGGCGATCTAAGATGCTTATTTTGCAATTAACAAAGGGAGAGGGTTTTGCTTGAATACTTAATTCCTAGTTGTGCTGGTTGCTGAAGGAAACTATGATTCTCTAAGTCTAAGTCTTCAAAGTTTCCCCTTAGTTTTGCAAATACAATGCTGGCACACATACACACTTCATCCTCCCCCGCAACCCTTACCTCCTGCCCTCAGTGGTTTAATGATTTAAACGGTTGGAGAACCGAAATGAATCTAACTCTGGTGCAGATAAATATATGCCGCTTGTCTCATACCCTAAGACTTACTCATTTAATGGTTCCGCCTTGAGATCTCACCGCGTTAAGAAACACCTGATTCACGCTAGTTCTGTGTGAGATGGGGCACCTGTGCAAAAACACTTTTCGGAGCATGTCTCCCTCTGATGGTCATTCATTAGTACTACCAAAAAGCCAAATGCCTCCTGGGATAAAACCAGAGCTTAACAACAACAACAACAAGTGCCCCTTCCTTTGCATGTACGTTATGCTTTTTTAAAAAACACCTCCCCATTCCAACACAGGCCTTTTATACAGCGACAACTGGTTACACTGAGATGATTGCTAGATCATTTTGAGTCTCTTCTGATGAGCATTTAATTATGTTTTTGAAAGTCTTTTCTGCATTTTCGGAATATATAATCCAATATAGCCAAAATCCTTCTTTTCCTTACGCACAAGAAAACCTCCTAAAAGAAAATCCTACCCCAAGCAAATGCTTTCTGTCATCCATCCATCCATCCATCCATCCATCCATCCATCCACTCATTTAGTTGTATCTAATAGAGTGATCCTGAACTCTGGCTGTGCACCAGAATTCCCCGAGAAGCTTTGAAAAATACACATACTGGGCTATATTGTACTTTCAAACAATTCTGACTTGGTCTCGACTAGGGCCTGGGTGTTGGTATTTTTAAGTCCTGTGTTGCCTGGAATGTGCTGCCAGCGTTGAGAACTACTGATCACCTACTATGTGCCGTTCATGGTGGTGAGTGCTAAGGATTTAATGGCAGGGATCCAGCTTGGCTGCACTGACCTTCTGACATCGCCATTTCCCAGGCCACACAGATTGCCTCCTCGGTCTGGAACATCACCCTTGTCCATGGCATAATTCGCTCCTCGTCCTTTGCCATCTCAGATGTACTGGTATTCCTCACTCAAAGACACTGCTGCCCTTCCATTTAGATGAGGTCCCCTATTTTGGAATATTCTTTACCTTCATAGCATCTCTTCTCTTTTCCTCCATAGCACTCGTCTCAGTTGTAATCACAGGTATTCCCTCCCATTGGAACCCTCACAATCAGAACTCAGCACCAACTAGATTTCGGTAATGAGGAGGAAGAGACAGATTTACCTGCAGGGAACGGAGTTTAAGCTTCAGGGTCCTTGTGGTGGGCTGAATAACATCCCGTCCAACATGTCCATGTCCTGATCCCCCAGAGCCAGTGACTGTGTGATCTTGCACAATAAAAAGGACTTTGCAGATGTGATTAAGTTAAAGACCTTGAGATGGAGATAATATTCTGGATTATCCAGGTGTGTCCGATATAATCCAAGGGTACTTATAAGGAAGCAGGAGGGTCAAAATGAGAGAAGATGCGAGGACAGAAGCAGAGGTCAGAAAGTGCTATGCTGCTGGTTTTGAAGACGGAGGAAGGCGTCTCGTGCCAAGGCGTGTGGGGCAGCCTCTGTGGTTCTCAACCTTCTGGCCCTTTAAATACAGTTCCTCATGTTGTGACCCAACCATAACATTATTTTCGTTGCTACTTCATAACTGTCATGTTGCTACTGTGGTGAATCGTCATGTAAATATCTGATATGCAGGATGGTCTTAGGCGACCCCTGTGAAAGGGTCGTTCGACCGCCAAAGGGGTCGCGACCCACAGGCTGAGAACCGCTGCAGCTGGAGGAGGCAAGGCAATGGATTCCCCCTAGAGCTTCCAGGTTTCACCCCCGTGAGACTCGGTTGGACTTCTGACCTCCTGAACCGTAAGAGAATTAATTGGTGGTGTTTTCAGTCTTTAAGGTTGTGGTCGTTTGTTACAGTGACAGGAGGGAACTGATACAGCCTCCCTTAGGCACGCCCCTTCCAAGAGCCTGGAAGGGACTCTGGGAGTTTGTTCACAGGGTCCAATGAAATTGCAAAATTAAAATGTTTTTACTGCAATTGGTGAAGGTGGCTGTCTCTTCTCTCGGGCGTCTCAAAGACTCTCTCTCCTTTGGTTGAGTAGCGTGGAGGAGCTGCGGACATTCTGGGGCTCTGGCTAAGCATACGTGCAGCTGGGGATACTTTGGTTTGCGGTTAGTGGGATAAGATTCTGTGGTTCACGGTCACTTCCACGAGGTGCTAACTTATTGCTGGGGTGTGGGAGTGGCTTCCGTAAATACTCCTTACGCCCATCGTGCTAACGTCCCCAGGTGTGGTGATAGGAGGGAGTCACAAAATATGTGTAGCGTGCAATTCATTCCCTTCATCTCATCAAAGCAAAAAGCTGCCTGCATAGTCCCTACATTTTTCAGATCAAACAAAAACAGTACTTCAGGAAGGACAGGAGAGATACATTTAAACAGAAGCAGTGAATAGACTCTCAGATTGTTTAATAGACCAATTAATGAAGAAGAGTCAATTGTTTGAACGCTTTGGGAAAAGGTTGAAATTCTTAGCTGATTTGACATAATGAACAGGCATCAATGAAAATATAAACTTACCACACAACCGCAAGGACGTCCGTGGCAAGTTGATTTATACATGTCATCAACTAGAAGAATAATATTTGTGATTAGTCGCTCACTACACAAGAAGATGTGGAATGCCCTGAAATCTTATAATTCTTACATGAAAGAAATTTGATAGAGGTTTTCTCAAATTTGACAATAATCCTAAAGAGTTACATGACATTTTCAAGAACACACTGTGAGACTGAAGAACAGCCCTTGAATGGGTGGGCATGAGGGTGGCATGGGTGGGCAAGTATGCCAGAATTCAGGGGAGGGATGGCCACTGTGCAGAGGGAAGTCTTCTTGGCGGTAGGACTTATTTTCAGTAAATGAACTCCCACCCCCCAGGACCCCCACTTTTAGTTTTGGCTGTACACCTGTATGTTGCACTTAGTCTGGAAATCCTAAAAAAAATGGGATGTAAATATTTAAACCGTTTTTGAAAAAAATAAAAACTCAAGGTCCTATTTTAGAGTTAGAGCACTCCGCCATTCGTTGCTATTACTAATATACCTATTTGGGTTATAGGGAAGGCTTACCTAGAGGCCAGCTATTGTTAATTGACGCCTATTAGATCTTCATACAACTGTCCTTGCCTGGGAAGCCTTCATTCAGCTGAGCCGGTGGGATGTATATTTAGAAAAGCACGTGAAAGTTGCAAAATGCTCCCGGGCTCAGATCGGAGCAAACATTTTGTAGGTTGCCTTCCCCTTCTCTCAGGCTGCAGTTGAGGTACTTTGCTTAATATTCAGAGGAGACTGAGAGCCGCCGTGCGCGCCGTCCGCCGCCAGGGGGCGCGCGGCCGACGCCGCGTGAGGCCGCTCTGCCCCGACGGGCGTCCCTGGTCTCGGTGGCCGCCTCTCACCTCCGCCCGCCGTCACCCTCGCCGCCGGGAGGTGCCGCCGCTGTCACCTCTGCTCGCCGATCCCAAGGTACCGGGGAGGGGGCCCTGGGTCGCCCAGGGCGGAGGCCACTGACACCTGCCCTGCCGGCCCCGAAGCACCGGAGAGAGGCGGCGCAGGGCCTGGCCGCGGGGCCCGAGGGGCGAGGCCGCCCGGGCTTCGCGCACCTACGCGGCGGCCGCAGGGAATCGGACCGGTCCTGGCGGGCGGGCGGAGGGGGGCTGCGGGGACCGAGCGGCTGTCAGGGCCGGGAAGGCCGCGGGGACCGTGCGTCCTGGTTGCGTTTGCGGGGAGGCTGTGGCGGTCCGGAGGGAGCCGGCCTGCGTTCGCGGCCGCGGAGGCGCGGGGTCCGGGAGGGAGCCGGCCTGGGCCTGGGCCCCGGCCCCGCGAGCGCGTTAGCCGCGTCAGCGCCGGCGGGACCCGGGCAGCCGGTCGCGAGGAGCCCGCAGTCAGAAGCCGCCGGGATGGGGGTGGATGCCCGGCATGGCCCCCGCCCCGGTGCCGGGTTAGAAAAAATAAAACAAAACAGCGCGTGCCCCGTAATTGACATCGATGCCGAGAAGCAGGTTGCTTACCCCCCAGATTCTCCAACACAGTGCTCTGCCTCCAGGACAAGTTATATCTATCCTCTCTCTCCCTCTCTCCCTCCCTCTCCATACACACACACACACACACATATATACTGTATGCGCTGAGTGGCCAGATTATTATGACCACCTGACCTTTGTCGGCAAATTAGCTATAATTTCGCGCCGAAGTTGCCAGAGGGCCAGATCATTACAAACGTCTGAATTGCATGACATACCTAAGTATCGCTGCTGATCAGGTTCATCCTGTCATGATGATGGCGTATCCCAATGGAGATGGCTTCTTCCGACAAGACAATGTGGTCGGTGCTCGTATTGTGCAGGAGTGGCTTCAAGAACATGAGGGAGGCCAGGGGATTGTCAAGGGGAGTGGGGGGGAAGGAGACATATGTAATACTCTTTGTAATACTTTAAGCAATAAAAAAAAAAATAAAAGAACATGAGGGAGACTTTACCTTGCTGAGGTGGCCCCCACAATCACCAGATCTCAGTCCAATTGAGCGTTTGTGGGACGAAGTTAAAAGAGCCATCAGGCAGCGGCTTCCACAACCATCAGATCTCACAGAACTGGACAGTGCTATTCATCAGGCATGGTGTCAGAGTCCTCACATCACCTTTCAACATCTCGTGGAGTCAGTGCCAAGAAGAGTCGCTGCAGTATTGATGGCAAAAGGTGGCCAACGAAGTACTGATGGGGTGGTCATAATAATTTGGCCACTCGGTGTGCATATATATATATGCGCACACATGCACACTGGTACATATATACATATACATACACATACACATACACATACACATACACATATACATATACATATACATATACATATACGTATACGTGTATATTGATTTCAGAGAGGAAGGGAGAAGGAGAGAGAGATAGAAACATCAATGATGAGAGTGAATGAATCATTGATTGCCTGCCTCCTGCACGCCCCGCACTGGGGATTGAGCCCACAACCCGGGCACGTGCCCTGACTGGGAATGGAACTGTGACCTCCTGGTTCATAGGTCGACGCTCAGCCACGGAGCCACAGCAGCCAGGGCCAGGGGTGATTACTTTTGGAGTATACAGGTGTTAAATTAAGAATGTTGTACACCTGGAACCTATATAATATTTTAAGTCCTGAGCGTGACATTGTTAGAACACGTCATCTAGGCATTTTAACTTCGGTGGCATTTTTAGTCCTAATCTCAGCCAGCCTTTCCTATCGCCAAATGGTACTGCCTCTTTCATTGAAATGTCTCTCTGCACCCTGGCTGGTGTGGCTCAGTGATTGGAGCACTGGCCATGTGCTGAAGGGTCTCAGTCAGGTTTCATTCCCCCTCAGGGGCACATACATGGGTTGCAGGTTCAATCCCCAGCCAGGTTGGTGTTGTTTGCCCGAGGCAACCAACCAATGTGTCTCTCACATCATGTTTCTCCCTACCCTCCAACCCCCCCTGCCCCCTTCCTCTCTCTCTAAAGATCAATAAACATATTCTCCAGCGAGGATTAAAAAAAAAAAATTACAGCCTTTCTGGTTCTTGGTATTCTTATCTGCAAAATAAGGAGATTGGTTTAGAAGATCCTAAATGACCATTCCCCTCTGAATTTTCATGGAAATATTTAAGTTTCTCCTAAGAGCACAATCCTGTGTGCCTTCAAACTATTTTAGGTGAAACATGGTTTAAATTTTGTGGACTGTTTAGAAAATAAGGAATTATTTGCAAAAGTTGTAATTCCTATATTTTTAAATAACACCAAATAAACAAATCAAGAATGCCATTTTTGTAGTCAGTGAGGTTTAGGTTTCGGAATAGGCCTGGAATCATATTTATGGCATTAATTTGTTTGGTAAACTTTTTTAAAGGAAGATTTAACTTCATCCCAACTCTAAATTTTCACAAATTCAGAGTTAGTGAGAATTATAATGATAAGTAACTGAAATTAAAGAGAAACTTTAGTGGCATTCTTCTTGCTTTATACTAGATGCTCAAGTTGCACTTGAAGCCCAGGTAGACCACAAGGTGGCACCATTAGGCCATGTAAATAAAGTGTTGCTGTAGGGAAAAAAATGTATTTTCTTAAAAAAAAACCAAATAAGTTTTTACAGAAGCACTATATGTGCATGAAAGGCTGCAGATTGACCTCCCATTGCTTACTGTCTTTATTATATAACTAGAGGCCCAGTGCACTAAAATTTGTGCACTCCGGGGGGGGGGGTCCCTCAGCTCAGCCTGCGCTCTCTCACAGTCCAGGACCCCTTGGGGGATGTCCACCTGCTGGCTTAGGCCTGATCTCCTGGGGATCGGGCCTATGCTGGCAGTCAGACATCCCTCTGGCAGCCAGGGGGCCCTCAGGGGATGTCTGCCTAAGCCACAGTCGGACATCCTTAGCTCTGCTGAGGAGGCGGGAGAGGCTCCCACCACCGCCACTGCACTCACAGCCAGTCAGCCTGTCTTGTGGCTGAGTGGAGCTCCCGCTGTGGGAGCACACTGACCACCAGGGGGCAGCTCCTGCATTGATCGTCTGCCCCCTGATGGTCAGTGCACATAATAGCAATCTGTTGTTCCCGGTCTTTTTGCTGTTAGGGTCAATTTGCATATTACCCTTTTATTATATAGGATTACAAGTTATAAACTGGAAACTTTCAATGGGAGAAGTCTCTTACTAAGAATTTTAAACATGGTAAAATTACACAGTAAGGATTTTGGAAAATACTGAAAGGTATTAGAGTGAAATAAAATATCCAAGATGACCAATATTCCCTTTGTGAAAATTTAATTTTGATTTATTTTAAGCCAATATCTTTCTAAAATTTGGATTGTAACTAAATTTTAATAATGCAAACAAATAATAAAGTAATACAAATATTGCAGGAAATGCATATCAGAAATCCTTTTTTGATTTTTTTAAATTTCCTGATGGAGAAAGAAAATTTTAGGTGTTTTCACACTACTTCATTGAACAAGAAAGACTTGAAAATAATGAGTCCAGGAATTTAGTCACTTCTTGTAAAGTAGGAAACATTTCCAAATATTTTATTGTTGTTTTTTCATACTTTTAAAATGTTATTTATGTGAGATGATTGCAAGGAGTTGATTCAGAATATATGAGCTGAACTGATGTTTCCTGTAAAATAAGAAACATTTCCAGATATTGTTTTCCACAGTTTAAAAAGAAGTTTATTTTCAATAAAATAATTGTAAGGAGTTAATTCAGAATTTGTGGACTAGAACTAATGTTTCCCTTTATGTAATCTTTGATAGAAAGGTTTGTTAAAATGATTTATTATATTAAAAAATCTTATAAAAAACAAACTTAGTGACTTAATTTTTTTACTCATAAAATGAGGATAATGATAGTACTTACAGAATTTTTATGAGGATTATACCAGTGATTACAAGAAAAAACACTTAAATAGTGCCTGGAGTATAGTAATTTAATAAATGTTAAATATTATGTATCTCAGATGTTGCTAAATAGTTGTTTGCATAGTAATAGCAGATATACAAACAATCCTTTTTTCCCTTTTTATTAAGCTTCGATTTCTAAGAACCTCTACTAAGTAATATGTGATTAGCCTACTTCTAATTATTATATGAACTTAAAAATAATGAACTGGCCTTCCTTAAAGTAGCATTCTGTAATTCACACATTTCACATTAACCTCACCTTTACTGCATAAAGTTAAGAATTCTAGACCCAGTTAAGTTAGATTAAACTATTGGAAATAAGACAAAATGTGAATTCTCCACAAATTTAGAAATAAGGTAAACATGTATCTGTCATGGTGGATCCAGCTCTATCTAAAAATTACTCCTATTGAACATCTAGTAATTCTTTTTGAGCCTTGGAAGTAAAATTTAGAAGATTCTACTTACACACTTCCTTCTTCAAATGTTCTTCATAGTACTGGCATATCCTGAAAGGATAGATTCTCAATTCCTTTTTAAATTTAGTTAGAACCATGCTTTCAGAAAGAAGCCTACCTTTTTCTTTTTTTTTACATTAAGAATTTAAAATAAATACTCACATATTGTGTCTTTATTTTGGTTAGATAACTCAAAGGTTAAAAATTATAATTCTAGTCATATGATCTATGATAATTTAGTATTTCCTTGGCCCTTCTAAGACAATCTTCCTGATTTTATCCACTTCCATAACTTCTTGAGAGCCTCTGAATAGATTTCTAATGGTTAAGATCTAATTGGGGTCATAGACATTTTCTTGGCAGGTTTCTAGGAATTAGATCTAATGTATTTGTATAATATTGTTTGACATACATAAATCTGTAATTTGCTCAAGTTT